GTTCATCATGTGGTTTAAGCATCAAGCACCTCATGCTGCCAGTTGCATAATTATAATTGGCTGTGATTAATCCTTAAAAAAACCAAACCCACACAACTTTGCAAACAACTGTTAAACACCCTCAGAAAGGATACAACAGCGCTCCGATACCTAAACCAACAACAGGAGATAGGGAGGTGGAAATACTTTATAATAAATTGCCCTGGTTAGGTATAAGGAAAAATAAAGCCCTATTCATTGGCATTAATATGAGAGATTTTGTAATAATAATAAAAAACACCCAATCCTCAATTACTGTTCTGAAAGAATGGAGAAGTAAGAGACTGGGTCAGAAACTGGGTTATCAATTCTATACAGAAGGCAATAATGAAAGCTCATAGAAAATGTGTACATGACCTTCTCAACAGATTAGTGACCATCGTAATACATTAGCAAAATGCAGTGCATTGTGCTCCAGCACGTAAGATATTCTGCTATTATAATGACAAAGACATTGATGTAATACAAATGCTCACTCTAGACTGCATTATCAGATATTTCTCATGTTGTATTTGTAGCCCAGAGTCTTGCTTAGTGCTCCAGAATAAATAACAGCATCTGAAAAGAAGGAGAATAGCTCCCGATTCCTCTCTCATCTTTATGGACCCTGTTTTTCTGCTGCTTCTGGTGACTTTGACTTAGCGAAGCATGAACTGCCTCCCATCTGATTTGTAATTAATTTAGAGAGAATGGAGAAATAGCGCGTGTTCTTTGGACTCCTGTAAATCAAACCACACCTCCCATATTCATGGTTGGTTTGGCTATTGCCTTTGAAAACTTCCAGTTTCCAGGATGTAGTCGGTGGTGTTACTGGGAACACATGCTGTGGTCTGCCATGCTACGCTTCCGACCTTCTCCTTCTTCTTTGACGATCACTCGTAGCCGAGTAAGATTGTCTCCCATAAAAGCATGGTTTTAACAATGAGTCCGTAAGAGACTGTGGAGGCTAATTCTGGTTCCACACGCCCTTCCATAGTGGGGACATTGATTTCCGGTGGGAGTTTGGGTCTGAACAAATTCTGTAGAGTCATTTTGTTACATATGTTTCATGTTGCAGGAGGAGTTGAACAGTCCTGATCGATCGTAGCATACATTTGAAAATGTAAATTGTAGCTAATTACATATCACATTATAAGAAGCTCTGGGCTGGAGCAGTAAATAATAAAAAGAATACTCACTGTTGTTATAAATTTATTCAATTTATTCAACATTCGGATAGCAAAACTCAATGCAAAAATACTAGGAAAGCTAAACTGAAAGTAAGAAAGGAGTTGTGTTTAATATATCAGTAAAATTAAGTCTGGTAACAACACCAGTGTACTATTTTGCTTACTGTGATTATTTCCATTTATTTATTTTGGTGTAATAAATAAGTCCATTATAGTAATACCCTCTGGCTGTTTTTTTTAATAATAAAAAATATGAATCAATGTTAAAATGTAATTAAAAATATTTTATTTCTTAAAAAAATTACACGCTGTGGATGCAACAAACTTTGGTTTCCAAACACATGTTAGAAAATATACAGGTAGACTGATCAGGCAGGTATGATGGTCTGAATAAGACCAGAGCTTTTTTTCAGTCGGATCTCAGTTCTGGCATCTCTCAGGTGAGTGCAATTGCCATTATAAGAGAACATTCATGATGAGTTCCAGCACTTCTTTTTCTCTAAAAATAGCACTGGTTCTGGTTCTTCAGAGTCTCAGGTCAAGATATTTTCCACTCTTCCTTTCCTGAACTATTTAACTGCAGAGCTGGAACCTCTGCAATTCCAATGCTTCATTGCATTTACCAATGCCTCCTATATTTAAAAGAGGGTTGTTGTTGTTTAGTCATTTAGTCGTGTCCGACTCTTCGTGACCCCATGGACCAGAGCTCGCCAGGCACTCCTGTCTTCCACTGCCTCCTGCAGTTTGGTCAAACTCCTGCTGGTAGCTTCGAGAACACTGTCCAGCCATCTCATTCTCTGTTGTCCCCTTCTCCTTGTGCCCTCAATCTTTCCCAACATCAGGGTCTTTTCCAGGGAGTCTTCTCTTCTCATGAGGTGGCCAAAGTATTGGAGCCTCAGCTTCAGGATCTGTCCTTCCAGTGAGCACTCAGGGCTGGTTTCCTTAAGAATGGATAGGTTTGATCATCTTGCAGTCCATAGGACTCTCAAGAGTCTCCTCCAGCACCATAATTCAAAAGAATCAATTCTTCGGCAATCAACCTTTATGGTCCAGCTCTCACTTCCGTACATCACTACTGGGAAAACCATAGCTTTAACTATATGGACATTTGTTGGCAACGTGATCCCACTGCCTCCATTTCAGGGGTAAGTAGCCAATTCTTCATGAAAGAGATTAAGAGTACCCTTGGATAACCCAACAAAGGCTGGTCCAACAAGTATAACACTTTCAAAACCTGTAGAAAAATGCTTAAAAAAAACAAGGCAATTTTAAGGCTATTTTTGGCCACCACCTAAAAATGTTTCAGTAGCATCTCATGGATCAGTCTCTAGGAATGTGTGTACGAGTTAGTACTTCACATATGGCCCTTCAATGCTTTGAGAAGACACCTAAGGGTTTCAAAACCCAGAAATTCATACCCACAACAAGAAGTCAATTCAAATGATGTTTATTACAGCTTAGTGGGGGGAAGGAATTTATTTGCAAGGAAAGTGTTATTCTAATGAAACAGAAGTAAAAGGTGGGAGCACAGCCATTTGGCATATAATATAAAAGAGATTAAATTTACCTTTTGTTACATACCAAAATGGACAGTAGGCCTGGGCAATATCTGGTTTCCAACTTTGTGATATATCACCAGCTGAACATCACTATATACTGATATCACAGTTTCTGAAATAAGGATGGAGTTATGCAGAGGCATTGGCTGGCTTCACAGTTTTCCCCACATTGTGATTTTCACACAGCACACACACATCACAATTCGTGATATATTGCCAGGTCAAAAATCAAGAAACCAATATCACAATATGGACTTCAAACTGGTTTTGGATGATCTATCAATATATCACCCAGTCCTAGTGGTGAGTAAGGTTGCCTAACACTAAAAATTCATTACTATGGGCAAAGTGGGGGAGATCCGACCAAGCAGAACTCATTGGCCCCTCCCCCCCATCTCCCAGTCCAGTGACTGGAAACTTGAAAGTGTCTTGCATAATATATACCTGTAGGCTGAAATTGTTGCATAAAACAGCACGGATCAGTTTCTTTTTCTGAATCAAATGGTATCCAAATTCCATGTAGCTTTATGAAGGGTACTGAAAAGTTAATTGCTGCTGAAAGCTTAAAGAGCTGCCAGCCTAGCTCATCTTTCTACAGCCCGCATCATGCCATCTTCACATCTTGGAGAAATTTCTGTCTTGGAACTTGCTCCCTGCTTTCTGTCTTTTAAAGGTACAATATGCAATCAACTAGCTTGTTAAGTAGTCTAACAAGGTGAAAAATATTCAATTACTTCCCCTGTCTTTATCGTGCTGCTTGTGAAGCAGGAAAGTAACAAACATGGTGTCTGTCATCAATGCTTCTGCCGATCAGATTTAATACAATTTAGGTAAGGCAAATTTGGCTAATATAATAGATATTTCCATGGCTCTGGATTCAATGTTAAGGTCAAAGACATCTCTTAAGTTGAGTAGCTATAGTTTCCACAACAGATTCCTTCTTGCCTACATTTCTGTTTTTAACTCATTTTTGAGCATTCCTCCTGGTTTGCTTCCACGGAGGTTAGATTAATCAGGTCTGCCTTCTTATATGTTGCCTAAACAGAATGCTTATTTTCATCATAATTTTCACAGGGGGATGAGACCCCGTGGACACCAGAGAAGGCCTTTGTGGGTGCACATGTGTTAAGTATAGTAATTTAATTCACTGAAATTGTAAATGCTTGTATGCATTACTATGTGTTCAAATTTGATTGGTCGGCAACTGAATTCTAGAGAGATCTCTAGTAGTTCTCCTGTGGTTGGCTAACGTTGGTCAGATGGGAGGTATCTAGTGAAGGATAGATTCCATTTTATGTGAAGCAAGAGGACTGTGCTTTAGAATCCACTGTGAATACTGCTAAGTTGAATAGAGTGTTGGAGTGCTTCTTCTCTGCTTGAAAGAAAGAGAGCAAAGCTGCAGAAGATGGTAAAAGTGGAAACCTCACCTAAAAGCTGCAAGGCATGGCCTAACTGAGATACAGAAGGCTGAGTGCTGAGCTCTGGAAAGAGAGGAAAATACAGTTGTTTGGAAGTTAGAAGAAGAGGCTGTCAGCCCATGTTTGGATGAACATTTGATTGTACAGTGGTACCTTGCTAGTTGAACGGCTTGGCTCCTGAACACCACAAACCCAGAAGTGAGTGTTCCGGTTTGCGAACATTTTTCGGAAGCTCCTGCAGCCCATCGGAAGCCGCACCTTGGTTTTTGAACCGTTTCGGGAGTTGAACGGACTCCTGGAACAGATTACCGTATTTTTCGCTCTATAAGATGCACCAGACCACAAAATGCACCTAGTTTTTGGAGGAGGAAAACAAGAAAAAAAATATTCTGAATCTCAGAAGCCAGAACAGCAAGAGGGATCGCTGCACAGTGAAAGCAGCAATCCCTCTTGCTGTTCTGGCTTCTGTGATAGCCGTGCAGCCTGCATTCGCTCCATAAGACACACACACATTTCCCCTTACTTTTTAGGAGGGAAAAAGTGAGTCTTATAGAGCAAAATATACAGTAAATTCAAGAATCAAGGCACCACTGTAACTATAAGTTTCTGCAAGTAAAGTTTTTGAAAGTTTAAATCTGGGCATTGGTTTAATTTCCAAAGGGTGTCAGTCGTATATATGGTTTGAGCTTCTTACCTGCAATTTTGCTACCCTTAATTCAACAACACGCAGCTACATATGTTGTGTTGGTGACGCCTTATGTGAGGCTGTGGCTCATACTGCTGGTGAGTTGTGTGATGGATGGAAAGAGCTTGTGTCATTTCTCCACTGTTCTATTTAAACACAGCTCCTGATGAATGAAGAAACATAGGCAAAGGTACCGTTCTTGCAGCAAGCTACTGCTATAATTCAGTTCTCGTTCTTCAACTTGTTTCAGGGGCACAAAGTGTTCAGCAGGAGGAATCCCTTTCTCATTCCTGTAAAAAAAGAAATCGAAAGACAACTCCCTTTCTCCAAAAGTCTTTTTTGAAATAGATGGCTTATGTTCTTTCTCCAGGCTTTCGCCATCAATCCCTCCACACCGTCTCCGAACATTGACTGTGTACACTTAATGAACAGATGTTCTCCACCACTGACTACAAAAATAAAAAATAAAAAATGATGGGACTCAAGAGTGAATCATCCAGGGATTAAACTAATCTAAAATGATGCTCTCGGTATGGAGGCTATTAAAGAAAAATCTGATTTTGTCTTTATATATACACAGGGTTCATTAACTTTCTTTCTGGGGCAGCTAATGATCTGAGCAAAAATTGTGGCTCATTAAGGCACCCTCTGTCAGCTTCTCTGATGGTCAATTGAATGGGGGCAGGGGGAGAGGAGAGGTGGAAGATAATATTAAAACTAGAAAGTAGGACTGAGGCAAAGGACTTGCTCAATTATGCTTGTTCAGTTTCCAGACTGAGGAGGTGAAAAGACTGAGGTGAAAGCTGACAGGATGGCTTACTTCAGTTTAATTTAGTAGTTCCTACATTTGCTGTTCTTTAGCAAGAACAAATATGTAGCTGCCCAGAGTTAAATTACGAATGAGGGTCTCATCAGACATTAAACATTGCCTACGTACAAAGCTCTTCCGTTTAGGAAAATATGCAAAAGCTGCAAGCGGCCTTCAAAATGTTGTTGGACTCCCAACTATCCTCAGCCCTGACCAGCATGGCCAATGGTCAGGGATGAAGAGAGTTGCAGCTGCACAAGATCTGGAGGTGCTGATGAAGGTTGTTGTATGTTATCTTAGTGACTGAGCTGGGCCCAGAAGATTTAGGGCCCTTGCTCAACTCCTGTCATCCATTACTACAGGGGTAGTCAATATGGTGCCCTTCAGATGTTTGGATTACAATTCCCATCAACCCTAGCCAGCATTGTAGTTCACAACATGAGAGGGCTTCATGTTGACTACCTCTGCATTACTGTTTCTAATTACCTATATTTAGAAGCCAGTGTGGTGTAGTGGTTAAGAGCGGTAGACTCGTAATCTGGTGAACCGGGTTTGCATCTCCGCTCCTCCACATGCAGCTGCTGGGTGACCTTGGGCTAGTCACACTTCTCTGAAGTCTCTCAGCCTCACTCACCTCACAGAATGTTGGTTGTGGGGGAGGAAGGGAAAGGAGAATGTTATCCGCTTTGAGACTCCTTCGGGTAGTCATAAAGCGGGATATCAAATCCAAATTCCTCCTCCTCCTCCTCTTCTTCTTCTTTTCTGTAGAAAAGAAAGAAGGGTTTTGGTCAAGTTTTAGGTGGTATTCAACTAGGTTTTAATCAGAGTAGACCCACTGAAATTAATTCAGCGGTCTACTTTAAAACTTTCTTGAATACCACTCCTTGTTAGTTACAGTGAAGAATTATCTGCCAGCCCCTTCAGATTTGGGCACTAGGGGGCAAAGAGCCATGACAGGTCAAGAAACCCTTTCTTTTTTCAAGTGTCCATTGTTAGAAAACAACAGAAATTCCGGGGGGGGGGGGGGGAGCTGTTTAGAGTGCGACATTTCGGCTACATTCAGAAAGAATAACCCCCAGCTGCTTGGGTTTTCAAATGTATTTATTAGTTTAACTACTTGGTTGTGGCTGATTTACAATATCATAATGAAGTGGAACCCCTCTGTCTTTTGACTTCAACGTTTCCTCTTAAAAGGCAGACATGCAGTTTGCCAAGCACTTGAAATGAATGTTATCAAGCAGAGCATATGAATTAGAAGCAGATACCTAGTGAAATGCCTGTGCCACTGAAGATAAATTTACCTTTATTTTTATTTATTTTTATTATTTAGGGTGATGGTGAGAAGACCTTCAACATACATTCTAAATATTTCCTAAAGGGAATTATTCTTAGAGAATAGAGAAATGCCCTGAAAATAAATGATATTTGCAGTTGGCTGCTAATTGAAATGTCAGATCTGCCTATGCAAGTCCAGCATCTGGAACTAATGCCCTCAAAGTAAACCTCCTAGAGAATGAGAGTTTGTGGAGATATTAAGACAGGCGCAAGCGGACATGGCTCAATCATATAAAGGGCTCTCATTTGTAGAGCTGTAGTTCACAAAACCACAAAGCGAGAGAACGTATGTTGGATGAGAGTCTTGTACTTCCAGTTCTAAGGCTGGTTGTAGTGCTGAACTGATATTTTCATCTGAGGTGACGGAGGATTTTTAATTCCTTATTTTAACCCCAAGAAGAAGAAAAGGCCCTAAAACCATCCACAGAAGTGCGAGGAACCCCGCAGCTTCACATTCCAATTTCATGTGTGCAAGCTGGGAGTGAGAAGCTTCAGGCTAGATAGTTGGGAGACAGAGCCATGCCTGATTTCTGTTTAAATCCAAGGCTGTGGCTGTAGGAGAAGCAAGACCCTCTTGGGATGTTTATGCTATGAGCCTCTCCATCGTAGGCTCAGGTTGTATATCTGTGTAAATACACCATATACAGTGGTACCTCGAGTTACAAACGCCTCAGGTTACAAACTCTGCTAACCTGGAAGAGTTACCTTGAGTTAGAACTTTGCCCTAGGATGAGAACGGAAATCGTCTGCCGGCGGTGCAGCGATAGCAAGAGGCCCCATTAGCGAAAGCATGCCTCTAGTTAAGAATTGTTTCAGGTTAAGAACGGACCTCAGTCTCCGCTGTCCCTCATTCTGAGGAAACTGAATCCAAGGGCAAGCGCCTAGAACCCCTGGCATGTCGCACTGCTCAGAGATTGGGTTGGCGTGCAACAATAGCATCATCTGTGGGCATTCTAGGAAGGTAAGCCATGGCTGGTTGGCTGGCTGGCTTGGAAGGACAGGAGGAAAGGACAGATGTTTTCTTGCAGACCTCACATGTACTGTATATTTTGCTGAAAAAAGAAGAAGATATAACACTTAGCAAAAGAAATATACAGTTGCCCCGCCTCACAGTGTTGTTGCCTTCACTTCGGCCCCACCCGCCCTATAGATTTAAAGCAGGATCAGACCACTTTAAATAATCATGGCTTTTCCCAAGGACTGTGGTTTGTTAAGGGTTCTGAGAGTTGCTGGGAGAACACTAGTCCCCTCACAGAGCAACAATTACCCCCAGGGAAATCGTGGAAATGTAGGGGAATACAGTGGTACCTCTAGTTGCGGACTTAATCCGTTTCGGGGTGCCGTTCGCACCCTGAAAAGTCTGCAACTCTTCTGCGCATGTATGCAGTGCAATCGAGTGCTTCTGCGCATGCGTGGGCGGCGAACCCGGAAGTAAACATTTCCGGGTTTGCCACTTTCGTAAGCTGAAAGTCCATAACAAGAGTGGAATGCAACACGAGGTATGACTGTAGTGGTCTCCTAAGAACATTCAGTATTCTTAACAAACTACTTACCCAGGAATCCCTGGGAGAAGCCATGACTGTTTAGAATGGTATGATATTACTTTAAATCCATAGTGCAGATGTAGCCTTCCTCTGCCTGCTGATAAGAGAACATAATTTCTGTGACTTTCAATTTTAACCTTCCACTGGAGTTCATAAACATATGTCAAAACACCACATACCTAATCCTTGTCTACTCTCCTAACCATATTGCCTGCTCCATCATGTGCTTAAACTTGCAAATATATAGCCTTATTTTTGGTTCTCTCTCACTCTTTATAGTTCCTTGCTGTTCCCAGGGTGTTCCAGATCTTCCTTTTTAGACCCTGTTCTTCCTCCGTCCCCTTACTAAAACTGTCTCCTAAAGCATATTGTCTTGTCCGGGGTAGCGTTCTAACGCTGAAGATAATGGAACATTTTTGATTCCTGTTGGGAAAAATATGCCACACTCTAGTAGCTTTCACTGTTGAAGGAAGCTTCCTGATTATTTAGCATCCTCACCCTTTGCTTTTGAATTATTTATCCTACTTATATGCAGTGTGTCGTTTTTTCAGGAAAGTATTTATCTTGCTGTTTCCCTCAGCTTGGAAGTTGCATGTCCAGCACTGCTCCTGTGCCACTGTGGTTACTTACTATACCACATGTGAGACCAAGAAATTGTTAGAGCTGTGAGTTGCATCTGGTCACCTTACTTGACCTTTTGGATTACTAGCTTGCCCATTCAGATCTTCTTCTTCTTCTTCTTCTTCTTCTTCTTCTTCTTCTTCTTCTTCTTCTTCTTCCCCTCCTCCTCCAAATTCTCTCTCCCCTTCTGCTTCTCTTTCTCCTTCAAGTTCAGTTGGATTAGAATAGCAATTTGTCAGGCTAGGTCCTGCAGGGTCACAAAGAAAACACATCCAATACCTCTCTTTCCTGTGACTTTTGCAGCCGAGAGCACATACAGAGCCAAACACCATCAGCTGTCATAAATACATACGTACGTCAAGTTGCTTAAGCCGAGCAAAGTAATTTGAGTGTTTTAATTTGTCTGTCATCAGCACTGTCGCTGGCAGGAACAGAGCTATGGGCTGTAACTGGCAGTGCTAATAAGCCTCTCTATACATTGTGACTCTTTACACATCACATTAAGTAACATCATTATGGGTTATTCCTGACCACCATGGTCATCAAAATATATTTGGCATCAGCGGTGGAGCGTGTCTCCATGCTGCCCTTGCTGTGTGTGGAGGTGTACCCACGTGCCCACACTGTGGATGGGGCGAGGGGTGGAGGACAAAATGGAGTCCACCGTGCCAGCCTGGCCCCAGCTGCTGCTGGAGCAACACCAGCCCCAAACGGCATAGCTGTTGCACCCTCCTTGCACCACCCTCCCCGGATCCGAGCCTTGCAAGGCCGCTCAGGGAGGGTGGTGTGGGGACGTGGCAGCCATGCACCCCTCAATACCAGCTTCATGTGATTGGCTGTGAATATGATTTTGGTCTCACCCACTCTTTATGCAGGGACGCGGGTGGCACTGTGGGTTAAACCACAGATCCTAGGACTTGCCAATTAAAAGGTCAGTGGTTCGAATCCCCGCAATGGGGTGAGCTCCCGTTGCTCGGTCCCTGCTCCTGCCAAGTTAGCAGTTTGAAAGCATGTCAAAGTGCAAGTAGATAAATAGGTACCACTCTGGCAGGAAGGTAAACAGCATTTCTGTGCTCTGCTCTGGTTCGCCAGAAGTGGCTTAGTCATGCTGGCCACATGTACGCTGGCTCCCTCGGCCTATAGAGAGAGATGAGCGCCACAACCCCAGAGTTGGCCACGACTGGACCTAATGGTCAGGGGTCTCTTTACCTTTACCTTTAAGGTGGGGTTAAATTTTGACCTTCCCTTCTTTCAGAGTAGCACCCAGACCTCTCTTATCTGCATCCCCAACGCAATTCCACCACTGTTCTGGCTATTTCTCCCCCTCCTCCTCTGCGCTGTTGTGCAACGAAAACTCATATTGTGTATGCCTCTTCACTTTTCCTCTTGGTGGGCCCAGCTAGTGGCTGCCAGCTGGGCTTCAGAATGAAGAATCAGGGAATGTGTTTTCAAGCACTCTTAGAGAGTTTTATTTTTATTTTTTTTACACTCCCTTCAAGGCACCGCTGTGCTTATTTTCCTATCAATTCATTCTCCCCTTTGTTGCTGCATTTACTCTATATTTAGCACACTTTAAGAAAGGTCAAATAGATTGTGCGTATACAATATCACACGGCAGGGACTTTGATGCTGTTCGGTGACAATTATGTGGCGTAAATCTAACTTTTCCTTATTAGCATTCCATTATCCTATCCCCTGTTCCCTTTCCATTTTTATTCTCTTGCTCTCTCAGTAGGTTTCGGGGGGGTGTTACACACACACACAGCCCCTTTGGGAAGGGAACCCGCCGCACTTTCACTTATACGTGAATTGTGGAAATTAGCTTTAAACACTGAGGTGTGAACATTTGACTTAATTGTTTTATAATCGAAATGTATTATTATTGCCATTCTAGGAGGAGCTGGGAGCCAGAACAATGCTTAAGTTGACTAATGCTTTAAACCAACAAAGGTTCCTGCAGCCTTTTTTGTGTGTAAAGCATCTAGCAAAAGCTTTCTGACAACAAATGCTTTTATAATTCAGTTCAGATATAAGGCTCTTTGGAATAAAACAGAACCTCCTCCTGTAAACATTTGAGGAATTTTTTTAGCCCTTGTTTTGCTAAAAGGGAAATGGTTGAAAGCAGCCATTTCTGTTCAGCAGCATGATGCAATGAGAATATGTTTGTTCTGAGTGAAGACATATCAGCAACTTGTTGAGTGCTATAATACTACATGTTTTTTAGAACACATAGCCTGTGTGTGTGTATCTTCGGTGAATATGTAAATAAGATCCAAAGCTATTTGGAAGTATTTATTTGTGTGTTTTATTTTAATTTCACCCAGGGCTATTTTTCTAGAAAAAGAGGTGCCAGAACTCACCACGAATGCCTCCCTTGTTCTTTTATACAGTGGTACCTCGGGTTAGGGACGCGGGTGGCACTGCGGGTTAAACCACAGAGCCTAGGACTTGCTGATCAGAAGGTTGGCGGTTTGAATCCCCGCGGCGGGGTGAGCTCCCGTTGCTCGGTCCCTGCTCCTGCCGACCTAGCAGTTCGAAAGCACATCAAAGTGCAAGTAGATAAATAAGTACCGCTCCAGCGGGAAGGTAAACAGCGTTTCCGTGGGCTGCTCTGCCAGAAGCGGCTTAGTCATGCTGGCCACATGACCCGGAAGCTGTACGTTGGCTCCCTCGGCCAATAAAGCGAGATGAGTGCCGCAACCCCAGAGTCGGTCACGACTGGACCTAATGGTCAGGGGTCCCTTTACCTTTACCTTACCTCGGGTTACATACGCTTCAGGTTACATACGCTTCAGGTTACAGACTCTGCTAACCCAGAAATAGTACCTCAGGTTAAGAACTTTGCTTCAGGATGAGAAAAGAAATCACACGGCAATGGTGCAGCAGCAGCGGGAGGCCCCATTAGCTAAAGTGTTGCTTCAGGTTAAGAACAGTTTCAGGTTAAGAACGGACCTCCGGAATGAATTAAGTACGTAACCAGAGGTACCACTGTAATGGTAATGCCTCAGAGATGCTGGAACTGAGTTCCAGTGCGTTCTGGCTGAAAAGAAGCCCTGATTTTACTTTGCATTGTAGGATGGTCAAGGCTGGGCTTATCCACACATAGCTTTTGCCCTGTTCTTTCCATGCTTTAAAGCTCTGTGTCTGAACACCTCACCCCCCACCCCGCTTTTTTTTTTTTTGCTCTGGAGCTTTATCATGAAAACCTGCTCTTTAAAGCTGACTCGGAGCAAAAGGCAATTTGGGTTTTCTGCGGCTTGCTCTCATTGTGTACTGGGAAAGCACCAGAGCAAAAAAGAAAAAGAAAAAACAAGTGCTTGGGCACAGAGCTTTAAAGCGTGGACAGCCTGGAAAGCATAGAGGATAGGTAAGTGTGGATAAGCCCTTACTTAAGTTGGATACCTTTCTGCTAGATTAGTCACAGATAAGAAAGTTCTAGGTAGGTACTAGAAAACCTCAATTATTCCACAAATTAGAGAATGGAAGGACTTGGATAAATTAGCAGGTGCTATATGTAGGAGACGGGACGTGGGTGGTGCTGTGGGTTAAACCACAGAGCCTAGGACCTGCTGATCGAAAGGTCAGCTGTTCGAATCCCTGCGGCGGGGTGAGCTCCCGTCGTCCGGTCCCAGCTCCTGCCCACCTAGCAGTTCGAAAGCACCCCTAAGTGCAAGTAGATAAATAGGGACCGCTTTCTAGCGGGAAGGTAAACATCGTTTTTGTGCGCTGCTCTGGTTCGCCAGAAGCAGCTTAGTCATGCTGGCCACATGACCCAGGAGCTGTACGCTGGCTCCCTCAGCCAATAAAGCGAGATGAGCGCCGCAACCCCAGAGTCGGCCACGACTTGACCTAATGGTCAGGGGTCCCTTTACATGTAGGAGAAGCATGTGCATCTATTTATTTATTTATTTATTTATTTATTTATTTATTTACCTACAAGAGGATACCTTTTGCTTATTGTTGGAATAATTTCTGTAAAGGATCTGCGCTGGCTCCCAGTACATTTCTGAGCACAGTTCAAAGTGTGGTGCTGACCTTTAAAGCCCCAAATGGCCTTGGCCATTCTCCTGAAGGTGAAGAAAATAGATTCTTCTCAAAGCTTATGCTCTAAAAAGTTCCCCTTATTTTGTAGAACATATATGCTCACTGGTGTGCTGTGATGCTTCTAGAATTAAACTGAAAGGTGATTTCCTAATGCTCCTTAACAGGTGTTTGTTACCAGCTATTGGGCACATGCCAGCCAACTAGTGTGTTTTCCCCCCTTTTGCTCACATGTGGAGTTTAAAAGAAATAGTTTTGGTAATAGGAATGTAGCCTGTGAAGAAGACAAAAATCTGAATATTGTAACTGACTGGAAAAAGTAGCCTTTGCATGGGAGAGTTGCTTTAACTCAGGGCCCAGCAAACTTTTTCAGCAGGGGGCCGGTCCACTGTTCCTCAGACCTTGTGGGGGGCCGGGCAATATTTTGAAAAGAAAAAAAAATGAACGAATTCCTATGCCCCAAAAATAACCCAGAGATGCATTTTAAATAAAAGGACACATTCTACTCATGTAAAAACACGCTGATTCCCGGACCGTCCGCGGGCTGGATTGATAAGGCCATTGGGCCAGATCTGGCCCCCGGGTCTTAGTTTGCCTTCCCATGCTTTAACTGCTGTGTTTAATGTGATTGTTTTTTTGTGTGTTTCTATTTATTATGGATGGTTATGTTTTAATGGAATTGTTTTATTGTGTGTTTTAATTATGGATGTTTATAATTTAATATCTGTGTAACAGGTTTTTATACTTTGTAAACTGCTCAGAAGCCTCTTTGGGCACTTAGCAGTATATAAATTAATAAGTACTACTAGTATTAGTACTACTGCTAAAGACTAGCACTGTTTCCCCTGCTTAAATTGCGCATTAGTAATTAAACCGATGTACTTTTATTAAATAAATATAACAAAGAACCCATAAATTTTCAGGGCTGTTTAAGCTGATGTAGTAAAAGGCCACAGGAACATCCTACACTCTAGGAAGCGGAAAGTGCCAAAGTTTTGTTTTGTTTTAAAGAATAGTTCATATTAGTTGTGCAACATTCTGACTTCCTCTAGCTCTTATAGTGTTAATAATTTGTTCGAGGTGGTGCTGTTTGCATTAAAAGCAGTACAACAAGCACACCCACCCACCCAAGGATAAACAAACAGATCTCTCATGTGTCACTGTAAAGGTATATAATTAGAAAAACGCGATCTATCACTTCTGTCACAAACTCGACAATAACAAAGTTGCC